TTAGCTAGAATATATAAGGGCCTTTCAGATAAATGCTGGAGGTGTAGACAGGAAAGAGGAACATTCCTCCGCAGTTGGTGGAATTGTAAAAAAGTTAAAAAAATTGGATAAGTATCACAGAACGGTTAAGGAAATACTTCAGTCCCAACCGAAAATGGAACCTAAATTATATCTTCTAAATATGTGTGATAGTAGGGAAATAGAGAAAAAATATGGAAAACTCCTCTTTTATATGACAACTAGCACCAGAATTGTATATGCAAGTAAATGGAAAAATAGAAACCTCCCATCAAAAGAAGATTGGTTACAAAAGCTGATTAGTTTGATGCAGATGGATAAATATATCAATTTGTTAAGAGGACATGACTGGGAAGAAACTGAGAGGATATGGGAACCATTATGTGACTATATATATAAAACAAAGAACTTAAAGGTAATAAGCAAATAATCGAATTTGATTAAAAGCATACTAAGACATGGAAATGATCAGAAATGAGAATTATGGAAAAGAATATAATGAATATATAAATTGTTGTCTCTTAATTTAGTCTTAATATAAAGTAAGAAGAGAAAGGTCCTTTTCTTTACAACTTAGGAATTATTATGACTTGGTAAGGCAGGAGTAGGCAACCTTTTTGAGCCGGGGGCCGGGTTGCTGTCTCTCAAGCAATTGGGGGGCCAAAGCACCAAAAATCAATCAATAAATAAATATAAAAATTAAAAATTAAAATATATATATAAAAAATAAAATATATATGCATGCACGCTCTCTCAGCTCCAGAAAAGCCATGGCAAAACCCCTGTGGAGATTTTGCCAAGAAAACCCCAAGAACAAGTAATAACAACAATAATCAATATCATCATGGTGGGTGGTGGTGGCGGCAGCGGCAGGACCGGCCTGGGGCTGGTCCAAAGGCCTTGGGGGGCCACATTCGGCCCCCGGGCCTTGGGTTGCCTACCCCTGTGGTAAGGGTTCATGAAGTTCTACACAAGAATGATAGAATTGAATTGTTTAGTTGGAAGAAGAAACATTAGGAATATAGGGTGATATGTGAATTTAGAATTGTATGTCTGTATGTAGTCTGTATGATTGTATGATTAATTTTTATAGATGTTCGATGTGTCTGATGTGATAAGTGTATATATATATGTATGGTTTTTTAATTCAATAAAATCAATTAAAAATTTAAAAAATGATTTAAGTGTTTTAAACAGTTTTAATCATGTTTCTTAAAATAATATTATTTAACTATTTTTAACTTATATAAACTAATGTTTCATCTTAATCTTTTCAAAATTATTGTAAGCTGCCTTGAATCCCATGTTGGGAGAAAGGCAGGATATAAATTCAATAATAATAATAATAATAAAAACTCAGCTCTTTCCATGGTAGAAAGAGAAATTCTGGAAAAGGCAAATGCCAAATGAAACAAAATGGAATAAAATCGCACTTGTTTCAGTACCAGAACCAACCCAAGATATTTTGCTGCTAGAAGAAAGACAAGAAGTCACCTCCCACTGTTCTCTGTACAAAAGCATCTGAATCATTCTTCAATGCCAGTAATATGAAACAACTTTCTGTACTGCATCTGAGAGCAACAGCCTCGCATTATGGGGAAAGCACTTGTCATTTGGCCTGCAATCTCCTGTGTGCCTCTCAGATCTACTGCCTGACATAAATTAATGGTGCGACAACTCTGTTCATTTCTGGCATGATCAGTTGTGCTTCCATTGTGCTAAAATTTGAATTGACACTGACCCAAAGTGAGTGCCTAGGCCTCCCAGCCACTGTCCTGGTAGAACATGAAGCTCCTGGTTTGGACCATCTTCATGGTAAGGAAGAGGCGGTGGCAGAGGTGGATAAATATATCAATTTGCTACACCAAGAAGGCTTGGTGAAGGCAGCAAAATATCTTGGTTTGGCACTATGAAGCCTCCCATTCCTAATCAGTGTCTGTGCTTCCGGCTGTATTCTTGGCAACTTTCTTTCACCTCCTCCATTTCTCTCCTATACATCTTTTCTGTCTCCCAGTCCCTTACAACATGGATGGGAAACATGTTATTCAACTATCTTCCATCACTGGCTGTGCTTATTGAGCTTGAAGGCAGTTCCAACATTTGGAACACAGCAACATTTGGAGCAGACATGGAATAATTTGTTTTAGAGTACATTTCCTAGGATATCCCTGCTAACACATAGCATAATGTCTTGGGGGATTCTGGCAGTCTTAACTTTTTCAAGCTCTGATCTGGAGGACCATATATTCTTCATCCCTGCCTCACTAACAGTTGTAGCTGGTACCATGAAGGGTTAGATGTGTTGGCCATTTAGCAAATTCAAACAAAAATCCACCAAACAGTGATACCTTTATTGGACAACCAAAATGCACAATATATTTGCTACAAGCTTTTGAAGCTGGTGGCATCCAAGCCAATGGGATGGTGAATTTGGTCTGAGTTTCAGTTGAACTTTAAAGGACCTATCCATAGCACCAAAGCTATTTTGGGGCTTCAGCACCTTGGACAGCAAATGTTCAAGTTCAGAATAAAACCAGCCATCTCTGCTTATGAGGAAGTTCTTGATACATGTTTTGTGAGCTGTTTGGCTTCTGTCATCACATCGCTTAGAACCTACTGAACTTCCTTGTGCTATACAACTAAGAGCACTGATTTGGTTTTGAAGAGAAGTAGTTTATACAGTTGGTCATCCATATCCATGGATTCTGCATCCACAGATTCCACCATCCATGGCTTGGAAATATTCCAAATAAATAAATAAACAAGAATCCAAAGAGCAAATTTTATTTGTTGTCATTTTATAAAAAGGACACCATTGTACATAAGGGGACTTGAGTATCCAAAAAATTTGGTATCCACAGGAGGTCCTGGAACCAACCCCCAATGGATACTAAGGGATCACTTTAAAACCGCCATGGTGCTGTCAACACGGGCCAAATAAAATGGCCTCCACTGGTCCTCTTGGTGTGGGGACTGGACAACACATAGCCCAAACCCTGGTTCTGGTGTGAACACACCAGACAACATCTGGCTTTTTCAACACCAGAACTGGGGTATAGACAACTCAGTGGGGTGTATTTTTGATGCCCAGAATCTGAACTGAGGGCTTTTGTCATGGAGGAGAGTCAGGGCTGACCGCAGAGTATCCTGACCAGTGCAAACAAGACCCATGCACAGAAAGTTCCAGGGACCCAGTTTGTCTTCCTCTTCACTCCTTTTGAATCCTTACAATCTTTGTTGATTTAAAGGAATGTTGTTGTTGTTTTTAAAGAGTCATATATGTATATGTCTATACGTATATAAATTTCAGATAGGTTTGGGATCAGGCCCTGAATATATTCCCAGAGGCTTCCATCTTGCTTTGCTCAACACTGACAGTTGCATGGCACAATTTGCCCTGCAAGCTGTTGGGTGGCTACTTGCAATTATTTCTTTTAGTGAGGATGCATAAAACTTTCCAATTGCATTTAATTCAACACAAAACATTTTCTATATTTCATGTCATGGGCTCGAATGAAAATGGAGATAGTTCATCAACACTGATATGTGGTATTAAAAGAGCCAAACAGCTCAGAGGTATGAGAGTGCATAAAAATGTTTTGTGTCCTGACCAGTACGTTGCTTTAAAATTTTTTACAATCAGCCCCAATTGTTCATTCTTCCCATGCAGAAGATACTCACATATTCATTTTTAAAAGGGCAAATCAACCATAATTCAGTTTCTAAACTGTGGAGCTGGTTGTGAATGTCTGGATGAATATTCATTAGAATCTCTTAATCTGCCATCGGTGGTGATTCATTAGGCATATGTAAATATCATTCACTTTAATTGCCTCTAAACTGACTTAACATAATATTGTCATTAGCAAATTATTAGTTATTTGTGTAACTAATGGTACATTATGGTGCACACGTTAAATGGTCAAATATATTATTACAGTTATGAAGATGTTTTATGCTAGGTTCTTTCTAAACAGTTTGATGAAATATAAAGGAGTTGAACTGAATGTGGTATGTTAAAAGGACAGTTGGAGAACTTTATTATTACTATTATTTTGCACCTTTGCGTAGGCTGGAAGAGACAAGCCATTTATTGTGGCCGAGTCTTTGATGGGTTACAGATTGCTTTCCCCTTTCTTCCTTTATCAAAGGCTCTTGTGATTTCCACATGTATGCTCACTGAGTTTTAACTAATGGACTCAGTCCTCAGTTAATTATTGGTGAAAATAACCTAGGCTTCTGGAATATGACCTTTTAACTGGGTGACCTGAGGGGAGGGGTGGGGGCATTCTGGCTAATGGTAGCCATCAACAGCATTTATACCCCAGTTAAAATAGATTGTTTGCATTGATTTCAACTCAATTTTACTTGCAACTCAAATTTTACTTGTAACTTGAAGTAGGTGTGCTTAGAGATAATGGTATTAGGCTTGAAAATAATTTAGCCTGCAATTCAAACAACTGGAGATATGACATGGAAGTCAATGGAACTTTCTGATTTACCATTGATTTACCATTTTTTTACACATTTCACAATATCCAACACCATATCATAGAGTCGGTGGTCTTAACTCAGATTAAGTAGAGATAATTTGCAGTCTTGAGACTGAATTTGCAAAATTAAGTCCTTTCGAATGACAATGTGTTATTTTGTGTGTTTGCCCCATCCTGTTTTTGTGCTTTTTATGGGACTTACATGTATATGAATCTCTCTGTGTACTAAATGAGCTGTTGTTAAGATAAGTAGGATCTATAAAAAATGGCATACTCCCGTTATGTGTCTGAACCTAATAATTGTGTCTTCTTTCAGGTTTTGTTGTTGTTGTTGTTGTTGTGTGATTTCAAGTCATTTCTGACTTATGGCGACCCTAAGGCAACCCTATCATGGTGCTTTCTTTGCAAGACTTGTTCAGAGGAGATTTGCCAGTGCCTTCCCTTAGTCTGAGAGCATGTGACTTGTCCAAGGTCACCCAATGGGTTTCATGGCTGAGCAGGGAATCCAACCCTGGTCTCCAGAGTCATAGTTCGACACTCAAACCAGTATGCCATGCTGGCTCTCTTCTTTCAGGATACTCCATTACATTCCATCTGTCTCCTCAAAACACACTATGCAGTCTAGGGTCACGGAGCTTTCCAAGTCCTCACTAAGCTGTTTTGGGTATTCCCTGACTCTATCCCTTAACATTTTTTCCTACTTTGAGATTACTCTGAGCTTGAAAATGCCTCCTTATTGTTTCTTTGTAAGCCCATTTGGCTTATTTAATCATAATAACTCAGTACCATAGCACACTATTAATATATACAAGTAGCATGGTCCTGTTTGGGATTCCAGCCAACTAGCTGTGCTCTCTTATCCTAAATATCATTCCATCCCGCACTCCAGTCCAGCAGGTATTCCATTGGCTTGTGTGTATTGGGGTTTTGTTTTTTACATCCTGTCCTCAGTTTTTACAATTGGGTGTTTTATTGTTATTTTATATTTGTACAAATCCCAGCCTTCTGATATTTCCCTCTTGTGTACGGATGGTGCCATTTTGGTTACCCTGAAACCACTACTCAGAGAATGAATTCAGAAGGATAGGATGCATGTTCATGACAGAAATACATGTATTATCAAAGTCATGATGATGGCCTCAGAGGCAACATGTTTCTCAGTATACCAACTACTAGGCAACATGACTGGGCAAGTATTATAGCAGGGGTAGGCAACCTTTTTGAGCTGGGGGCCGGGTTGCTGTCCCTCAGACAATTGGGGGGGCCAAAGCACCCAAAATAAATAAATAAATAAATAAAAATTAAAAAAATATGCATGCAAACACTCTCAGCCCCAGAAAAGCCATGGCAAACCCCCTGTGGAGATTTTGCCAAGAAAACCCCAAGAACAAGTAATAACAACAATAATCAATATCATCGGGGGGCGACGGCAGCAGGACCAGCCTGGGGCCGGTCCAAAGGCCTCGAGGGGCCACATCCGGCCCCCGGGCCTTAGGTTGCCTACCCCTGTATTATAGTCTTCATACCCTGTTTGAGGGTTTCCTATAGGAAACTGATTAGCCAGTGTGGGAACAGAGTGCTGAATTAGATAGACTCTTCAGAGCAAATCCCTTCTGAATAAATCTTGCCAAGAAAACTCTATGTTAGGCTTGCCATAAGTCAGAGTTTACTTGAATGAACATAACAACAGCTGCAGCTGCAGTTAAGAAAAAGCCATCATCAATGAATTGACAGGAGATGTAATCACAACTCTACAAGTGTCTTTGCTTTGCTTCTGAAATGTTGGAGACTGTGAGGTTCGTTTAATATTCTTCCAATTTAGATATTGAAAAGTTACATTTGGACCTTGGACTATTTCTTCCTGAATTCAGCATGATGACTGGGGATGCTGGGAGTTGTAGTCCAAAAATTATTAATCCCCCCTGCAAAAAAATCACTGCTTAAAATTATTCTCTTTAGCCATAGTTGTGTTCCATTTTACAATCTAGATGCAAGTATACTGGAGTGCAGGAACACAGTGACTTAGTGGTCAACAGATTGGCAGTTCAAGACCCAATTGCCACATGATGGGGTGAGCTTCTGTCACTAGCCCCAGCTTCTGCCAACCTAGCAGTTCGAAAGCATGTAAAAGCTGCAAGTCGATAAATAGGTACCACTTAGGTGGGAAGGTAAAAGTGTTCGGTACAGTCATGCTGGCCACATGATCACAGAGTTGTCATTGACAATGCTGGTTCTTTGGCTTAGTAACAGAAATGAGCACCACCCCCTACAGTCAGAAATGACTAGACAGTCACACCAAAGAGGAAACCTTTACCTTTTATGTTGGAGTGCAGAAGAAAAAAATGGTCCTATTCCACTCATGTTTTAGATATATGATTTAAAAAATCAATACAACAGCCAATCCAATGCATTTTTAGTTGGAAAGTCTTGCTTTAAAGTTAGGAATGTAATTAATTAATTGTAGCAATTATAATTAAATAATTAATGGAATATAATTAAACAATTAATTAATTAATTAATTGTTCCAGTAATTAAATGATGTGGAACAGCACTATGCATGTTAATTTAGTAATTCATTTCATTTGTTCACCAGGGCTTATTCCCACTTGTGTACATAGGATTACATCCACATTGCCCAATTCTCTGATTATTTATTCAGTTGTTAAGTCCCACAGGTTCAATGGAGCTTATTCCTATGCTATTGTGCATAGGATTGCAGCCTTAGTCTTCAGTGGGTCAAAGAGAAGGCTTTCAAAGTGAACCTTGCAGGTCTTTCATGGAATCAACCATTTGGAAGGGACCCCAAGGACCATCCAGTCCAATCTTCTGCCATGTAGGAATCCACTGCTAAAGCTTTTCTGATAGGAGATCATCAAACCACTTTTAAAAATCTTAAATGAAAGAGAATCCATGGGGAATGGTATTGGGTATAGAGTATGGTTAACCTGGAGCAGAGAAGACCAAGAGGTGATGTAAAAGCCATGTTTAAATCCTTGAAAGGGTGTAATATAGAAGATGAAGTGGGGTTGTTTTTGGCTGTTCCAGAGAGGAAAACACAAACTGAGGGATTCAAATGACAAGAAAAAAAGATTCCGTCTATACATTAGAAAGAACATCTTGACAGTAAGAGCTGTTTGACAGTGGAATAGACTGCCTCAGATGATGATGGACTCTTCTTCTTTTGAGATCTTTAAACAGAGGTTAGATGGTTATCTCACATTGGTGTCTGACTATGTACTTCTGCATGGCAGGGGATTGGACTCAATGGCCCTTGTAATTTCTTCCAACCCTATGATTCTATTATTCAACCATGATGGGTTGTTTTACTGTTGAGCAGATCTTACTGTCATAAGGAGAACATTCTATTGAAGTTTCTCTCCTTGACTTATGAAGTCATAACCCTGTACATTGTACAACAATACCCAACCAGCACCAGTTAGATCAGTTTTGATGTGACACTATGTACTTTTTTCTAAAGTGTGAGTCATTGTCTTGTCCTATCCCCCATTGGAGATGCATGGCAAGAAATTAGTGTGACGACCTTAGATTCCAAGCTGATCACATACATTATCAAACACAAGGGCAGCCATATTGGTCCATGGAAGCAATGCAAAATCCAAACTCCTCAGGAAGGGAATACCGTTATTCTTCCTATTGCTGCTTATCTTTAGGTTATTTCGAACTCATGGTGACCCTAAGGTGAACCTACCACAGGGTTTCTTGGTAAGATTTATTCAATAAAGAGGTTGCCTTGGCTTCCCTCTAAGGCTGACAAAGTAACTTGCTCAAGGTCACCTAATGGGTTCCCATGGCCAAGCAGGAAATTGAGCCCTGGTTTCCAAGTCATAGTCCAATACTCAGACCACTGCAGCACACTGTCTTTCAGTTTCTCTTAGGCAAGGAATATTCAGAGGTGGTTTTGCCAGTTCCTACCCCTAAAATATAGCCTACAACACTTGGCATTCATTGGTGGTCACCCATCCAAATACTAACCAGGGTTATCCCTGCTTAGTTTCCAAGTTCAGACCAGATCTGACACATTCAAAGTATTTTTATTAGAGTCAAATAAAATGCTACAAAAGTAAGCAAGACTGAGTTATACAATCAACTGGTTCATGGCAGCAGGAATCCCAAATTGTGGCAAAGACATTTTGAGATGGTTTCTTTCATACACAGGATAGAAATATTTTAATAATTTTAATAAATAAGATAAATAATCAATGCAAGGTGGGTCCTTAATTGATCTCTGTGTTTTCCTGACTTTGGAGGCAGCCTGAACAATTTTGAGATGGTTAAAAAAGCTGAACAAAAATTAGATCTTTAAAGGTACCATCTTTGCATGTGTCTGTCAGTGGTGAGAAACATAAAATGGACAGATGCAAAAAGAAGAATGGGAAAAGATTGTCCCAGACTTTTATTTAACCAGTTCATCACTTTTGGTGGTAGCAGAGTTGCCGGCCATGATAAATCTGCCGAGGAAGGAGATAAAACAACATCCTGCCCCTCTCCAAAAATCCCAGAGGGGATAGGTGTGCTGGTGGATAGTAAATCACAGGAAATCAGCCAGCACTGAATGGCAATAGTATTTAAAACCCATAATTGTGGTTGATTAGAATTCATCCAGGGACCATGCATAATGCCAGTGGGTGACCCCCTTTTCCCTGGGTTGCTCTGGCTGTGATTGCCCAGGCCTTGTAACAAATGCCTAATGCCATTTAAGGATGGAATGACATATCTCTGATATGCAAATTTTTACTGCACAGCAATTAAGCAGTTTAGGTTTTTTGGGCTCTATACAACAACAAGGGGGGGGGGAGGCCAATAAAGGCCTAGTGATGAATGGGCCAATCCCCACTGGAAATATACCATGTAATCTTGCAGTGACAATGCATTATGGATAGCATTGTGATTATTGGTTGTTAATCTCCCTCCTTTCCCTCCCTTCTTTTCTCCTAGTAACCTTGCCTTCCCTTAACTGTCCCCTCCCACACCCTCCAACTATAGTTCCACGGATGAAAACGACATGGCGGCCACATTGTTGGGGGCACGAGCCTTGGATACAGATGGGAAAGTTGGGCCATTGCAATCTGCTGCGCACAAGGAAGGCAGTGAAAAGGGGCCTTGCAGCTCGGCAGCCTGTCAGCAGGGGACAGAACCGGGGGCCATATGCCTCTCTTCTTCTCCCTTCTGTCGCCAAGTCTGCTGCCTCATCCTTCTGTCAGGGGACACTTTAGGATGAACATGTTTTAAACAGTTTTGTTTACTTAGCAGCAGCCTTAATTAGACACCTTAAACCATTATATATATATATATATATATATATATATATATATATATATATATATTGGAGTTGTGCCCGTGTGGGTGAAAATCATTCAGGCGTACAGTTCTCTTACCTCCCCACTAAGCCTTCCAATGTAGCAAGCAACACTTTCCTTTCTTTTTTCTGTTTAGTGCAGGAAACTCTTTATTGTCTAAAGAACTCCTTTGCATTGCACAAAAAAAGAGAGAAGAGATGCTCCATTCCCCCATCCCTCCCGTTTCATTATGTCAGGAATAGT